AGTTCAACGCAGATTCGGAATAAGAACCTCTTTGCTCTCTGTTTTCGTTTATTCTAATTTTAATTCTAAGTATTTTCGTCATCTTATTTTCGTTGTGCGGTTCTCGCAGATAGCCGGTTCCTCTGGAAACTTAGGGTTTTCCCGAAGTTTCCTTATTTACGATTTATTTGACAGTAGGGTGAAATCGACTCCCACAATTGTCACCATTCATACACTAATTCTACTAAGCTAACCAAAAGATTCTACGGAAGACTAACTAACGCTCGAGTAGTACGTGTGGCCACTGGTCTGGTCACTAATTATTGTGTTGCAGAAGCAGAATGATGAACAAACCCCAGTTGTCTTGAAATTTAAGGTCACTGATGTCATGAAAGGATGAAGGCATCACTTTGAAGCCCTTCTCTGCATCATAGAGAGGATCATATTCCATAGATGAGTTTGCTAGCTGCAAGCATAGGTTATATCATTAAGATGAAGGGTGGTTGGTAATACATGAGGAGAAGTAATAGAAAAAACATAGCAAATGATGAACAAACCTGGAAATTAGATGTATTGAACGCGCTCAATCTCCCCATAACATTAGGGCTGGACACAAATGCTTGATACCCGGTTTATACTCGGTACTTGACTTGGTTCGGGTTGAAAAAACAAGTACTTGCTATAATCAAGTCGAGTAACAAGTAAACAAATTTTATTACATGTAAATACAGGTCAAGTATCAAGTTTATTTTTATTTTTAACTACTTGACTTGTTACTTAGTTTGTTATTTGTTATCATTTATTTGTCTTATTATTTGTTATATATTGTTTGGTTTATTAAATACTTGATATCCATTTTATTAGTTAATAAAAATTTATGTATTACATTTTATTAGTGACCACAAATACTCTCGTTGTTTATCTCTTATTCGTTACTTGATGAGTACATAATCTTTAAATATTAGTATTTGTTCTGATCAAATTAAGTATTAAGTAATCTATTTAAACTACTTGACAAAATAAATATTAAATATTAAATATTAAATAAAATTAACTACTTGATGTTGTTTTGTTTATTAGTTGTGTTTGTTAAAGAACAAAGATACATTTTTTTAAATCATAGTAAAATAACTCATTGGAAAATTGACCAAAATCACACTTTTGAAATTTTTGTCTCCAAAATAGCACTAGAAAGGAAAAGTCACAAAAATGGCATTCATTAATGGGCAAAATGTCTCCAATACACTCGTTTTAAATTAAATAAAACCACTGGAAAAAAAAATAGAAATATTCGATCTTTAATCTTCGATCTCTCTCATGGCTACTTCAATTCATTTCGACGAAGAACACTGATGTAATCTTACGGCGACTCCGATTTCTTTCCATCATCTCCTGCAAGGAAACTGTCATCATCTCCGACGAAGAGAATTGATTCTCCAACGACGCTTTTTCAGTATGTGTACAAGGTGTAGGGTTTTGAGATTCAAATATGATAATTGCTTACGTTTTAGAGTTACTTGAGAGCTTGTAAGTTTGCTTTGTTGTATTAATCAAACAGATTCACTTTGAACAGTACAAAAATCTAAGATGATCCGTCTTATATTTTCATAAAAATATATGTTTTGCTACGATTGGTTATGCCTTTAAAGTGTTTGATAGAATACCTCTAAGATTGGATATTTAGTAGCATGGAAGTTAAATGCTGTTGTTGTGATCAGTAGAACTAATATTGGCTATTTATTTCCATGTCTGTGTGTGTTTGATGTTTTAGTTCTCTTGTTTCTCTAAGAGTTATTGCTTTTTCTAGTTAAGAACACACATAAAAATTATATATTTTCTTGTTCTTGTTAATCGCAAGTGTAATGTGACTCGTAAACTATTAGGTACTGTTTGTAGCTGAAGAAACCACTATTAACCCGAGAAGTTATTTTGGTAAAGAGAAAGTTGTGTTGCGTTTTTTTTGTAGCGAAGGAAAGTACCTTAGAAGTTGTTGGAGCTCAAATCAAAGACTGTTAAATGTGGGAACACAAGGTTTTGAGGTAATGTACCTTTTGATTTTTTTGAGCTGCGTCAGATGCTATTCTCAAGAACTAGTTGAGCTACATTAAATGCTTATGATATTGTTAGTCTCTCCTTGTTTGTGCTGGTGAAACTGTGTAGTGTTTTAAAAAATCAAGAAGGATTGTGTAGTTTCAGGAATGCTTTCTAGAAAATCTGATATTAACAAATTTGATTTTTTTTTTCTTGGTTACTTGTTTTGCTTACACATATTGATATCGTTGATAATCTCATGAATTTGCTTAATTATGACGTTTCTAGTCGATTGCTCTATCCTGTGAAACTGTGTGGCCATTTTTTTGTAATTTCAGGAAGGGTTTGTGTAGTTTCAGGAAAGCCTTCCAGAAACTCAGATGGTAACAAATTTGATTTTTTTCTTGCATCGTGTCTTGTTCTTCTTAGGCATGTTGATATCTTTGTCAGGCTCTTAAATTTTCTTATGAGTCTTTTGTTGCTTGTGCTTATGAAACTGTCTAGATTTTAAAAAGTGTTCAGGAAGCATTTGTGTAGTTTACGAAAGCCTTACAGAAACTCGGATGGTAACAAATTTTGAATCTTTTTTTGCTTGGTGTCTTGTTCTGCTTAGGCATGTGTATATCTTTGATAGGCTATTGAATTTTCTTATTAGCCTCTTGTTGCTCGTGCTTGTGAAACTGTTTAGTGTTTATAAAAAGGTCTAGCGTTTCTCTCTGAGGAATCCCCGTTGAAGTTTGTACACAGAGATATGAAGGCTACTAATATTTTAATTTCAGGAAGGTGTTTCAAAGTTTCAGGATAGATTTCCATAATTTTTTTTTAAAATTCAGGAAGGTGGTTCAATGTTTCAAAATAGCTTTCCAGAAAATTCGATGCTAAAAATCTGAATTTTTTTTGGCTTGGTTACGGATGACAGCAATACGAAGAGAGATCCAGCAATACGAAGAGAGATTCAATACATGTCATGATAAGACTATGTTTTTGAACTTTGATGTTGACTTGGACAAGTAAGAAGTTTGTAATGAATGATGACGACGTTTGTTTCATTTAAGTTGTTATTAACAAAATTGTAGAATGTCTTGAAGCATTGTCAGTAATTCTATCAAGAAAGTGTTAAAATGTACTATCATAATAAACACACATCGTATCTAGGATAGTTTATGGTATTTTTATGACGAGTTTCCAAAAAATAAAATGAGTAAGAATGAGATTTTACTTCAAAAAGGGAATTAATTGTCAAAGTATGAGGATTGAACCCGGGAACTCTAGAAAAGAGAATCCTAGTATGCTATTTTTATGCCAAGGGTGTTATACTTGTAAAATTTTATAATTAAACTGGTATAAACAACATATTATGTTTAATTAAAAACAGAAAAATGTTTTGTTTCCAAAGGGACCGAAGGCGGGTTTTATAAGGCATTTGACAATTTCTGGATGGGTTTCCAGAAAATAATTCTGCTTTCTAGAGGTATTGAACTCGCGGGACATATGACTTTCATGTAAAAGTAGTGTTTTAGCTGTCTGGCTGAGGAGAATCATCTATTAGTATCAAACGTATAAATATATTTAAACCTTAATTGTATACATGTTTTCTAGAAAAACTTGGAAAGCATTTGGGAATTTCTAGATGGGATTCCAGAAAATAATTCTGCTTCCTAGGGATATCAAATTTGCAAGGCGTATGAATTTCATGTAAGAGTAATGTTTTAGCTGCCAAGCTGAAGAGAATCATCTGTTAGTATCGAACACATAAATATATTTAAACCTTAACTGTATATACATGTTTTCTAAAAAAACTTGGAAGGCATTTGGCAATTTTTGGATGGGCTTTCAGAACATAATTCTGCTTCTTAGGGGTATCAAAATCACGGGGCATGTGACTTTCATGTAAGTGTAGTGTTTTAGCCGCTAGGATGAAAAGAATCATCTGTTAATATCGAGCACATAAATATATTTAAACCTTAACTGTATAAACCTGTTTTCTAAAAAAACTTGGTAGATATTTGACAATTTTTAGATGGGTTTCCAGAAATAATTCTGAAATTTAGAAAGTATTTAGCGTGTTCAAGATGTGCTTTCAAAAGAAACTGTAAATGTGATATGGTTCATATCATGTAATCATCAAACAAACAACACCTACAAATCGGTAATATAAACATGTAAATCATCAACAAACTCTTGAAATGAACTTGTGTGTGGTTAGCATTCCTATGTGTTGTATCACAAAAATGCTCGTGCACATATTTCTTAACCACAAAAAAATCTGAAGAAGGCAGTTTTGTTTTGTTGATTTCAGAAAGAATGTATGATAGTTTTGGAAAGCCGTCCAGAAACTTTAGAAATTCATGATTTTAGGAAGAGATAGTAAGCCTTTAGAAAAGCCTTCCAGATTATCTGATATTAACAACAACAAAATTACTTTTTTGCTTGGAAGGTTGAGTACATGATCAGGAAGCCTATCCTGAATAGTCTAAGAAAAAGGAATATCATACAAATACAAATAAATAAATAAAAATTAGAAACGATGTACTTGTTTTCTTTCTACACAGTAGAATCAACCTCTCCTCACAACGGAATCAGAATATCTTTCTTAAGTTAGCTTCACTGAGATACTGACCAGTCAAGTTTATGGGATTAATGATCACCATTGCTCTTACCTGCTTTTAGCTATGTGACTTAATTAATAAAGAAGCTCCTGCATTAACAATTCTACTCACTGTTATTTCTTGGGAGCAAGCCTAAGCAACAGAAAGCTTCTTTCTTTTTTTGTTTTCCTTTGCTCAAGTGTTAGTTGGTGAAGCCGGAGTATCTAGCTTCTTCGTTTTCTTATCTTTTGACTTTGTGTTCTTCTTATTATTTTTCAGTTTCCTTTCTGGTATTTTCCTCTGCAGCTTGTTTCTGGTAAGGCCAAGAATTGATCGGAACTACCGCTCACCAGAATCGTGACGGAACCGGCATTGACCCAATTCTGATCTAAAAGAATATGATTTTGATATCCACGGATCCAACAATGAATCTACTAAATTTGTTAATTTCAAAACAGATTTAGAGAGACTAGTATTGGAAATATGCACTTTAACAGCACCACTTTAAGAATCCTTCTAGCAAACCAAACAAATTTGCTTACAGGTTCAAGAGAAAACCAATGATATAAACAATGAGAGAAACTGATGAAAATCACAGAAAATAGATTTGGAACTGGGAAGATAACAACACCCATTTGACTTTGAAAATCCACAAAAAGAAAAAAACTTTTTGATTAAGAGAAAGCCTCTAATTGGATACTGACATTTTTTCATGTCTGCGTTGAGGGATTCATAGTCTAATAGTTTAGGAGAAATATCCAGAATCAACTTTACACACAAATAGCAAATACACTTAGCTCAATTACGGAGTGAATGCGGAGATGATTAAGGTGGTGATGAGGACGATGGAGATGAGCCGGATATTATGACTAACGAGATAATGGATACCAGAGAGGATGACGACTGAGATGAAAACGACAACGACAGATCGAGAAGATGTAGACGGCGATGAACAGCGATACAGAGGCAAGAAGAAACGACAAACAGCGAAAAGGAGATGAAGACGGCGATGTAGAGGTGAGGGGAGACGACGATGGTGATTTATTTTCTAATCTCTAATTTTTTTCTAATTACTCAAATGAGGGGGTATAAGGGTAAATGATATCCTTTAATGAAACTTATTTTTATGACTTTGGACCTTGGGTGCTAGTTTGAGGACAAAAACTTGGATTAGTGCTATTTTGGGCTTTATTCCTAACTCATTTCTATTTACATTTTCATAAGTACATAAAACATAAGTGCTATATTTATATATAAACATTTTGAAAATTTCTCTTTCGTATATAGTTTATTTCCCGAATGATTAAATACAAGAAAATAATGACATATTATTTATGTAATAAATTTACTTAATTTCAAATTTTAATAAATTATCAAATAATTTACCTATAATTATGGATACATTTGTAAGTAATTTATAAGTAACAAGTAATAAAACAAGCCAAGTAACTTATAATTCTGGCAATTTCCGGTAAGTACTTGAAACAACAAGTACTCATTTTTAACAAACCAAGTACAAGTCAAAACATTTACTACTCGTATAAGCCAAGCCAAGTACTAAGTATATCAAAAATACCGAGTACTCGACTTGTGTCCACCCATACATAACATACCATGCATGTATAACCTGTTAGCACTCGAGTTTTACTATGTTATGGAATGCAGACAACAAAATGAAGCAATAGAAAAAAAGATTCTCACTCTTTGAAGCTAACTTTGAAAGAAAGCACAAAGCCAATCTTCTGCTTCTGGAAATCTTTTCCCTTCTTCCTTACCTTTTCTACAAGCTAACCAGATGATTAAACACATCATGTCAAACTTCACAATTATTAGAAACAAACACATAAGACACATCTCAACATGTTTGCCAAATCTTCATTAAGAAAGAAAACTATTACAGAGAACGGAACTCGTTTGTAGCAAATTTCACAAAACATGTAAAAAAGAGAACCACCAGTTAATTAGTTACCTTCTTTCTCATGAGCTCAGGGTTGCCTATGCTATCGCCAAGAACAGCTCAAAGCTCTTCATCATCTTTACAAGCACTCTCCAGTACTCTGTTTCACACAAATTCACCAAAAGGTTCACACTTTATCACAACATAGGCATAAAGACAAACACTTGGAGTGTAAAAGAGAGTACTTAGCCCAAGATGGGTAATCGTGGAGACGATCGTACTTGCGTTTTCTCTTCTCATCTCTAACCTTGAGTAATCTCTTTCCTCTCGCCGTAGTTCCAGACCTTTTCTTCTCTGCCGACATTCCGCCGCCATTCTCACCGGCGATGCTGTCGGAATCGCCGACTGATGCAACCGTCGAGGAGAGATCAATCTCACGAAGTTTTGGAATCAAAACCAGTGTTTCATCGCCTTCTGAAGACAGATAGAGATGACAACTGAACGTTGACGCGTGTCCCATAAGGGACTTATCTTGTAATAAGCGCCTCTTGCATTAATGTGTAACTAGATTTTGATCCGCCCATTTTATGTTTTCATTTTTTTAGAAATTTAATTTTTATATTTGTGTTTTTTAGTTATATTAATTTTTTTGTAATCATATTTGTGTAAAATATTTTTCAAAATATTAGTAAGAGGTTTTGATAACTGTATCAAATTTGTGATGTTACATAACTATACACTCGTGCCTGGTATCGGGAAACGGGTTGAACCCACCCCGCTCGACCCTCCCTGCAGTGGGTTGGAGTCATTATTTTGACTCAAAATTTTAACATACCTTACCCGAAAAGAAAATATATTTTACTCGCAACCGTATCCACCCCACTTAATTTTGCACGTAACATGCATAACCCACAGATAATTATTAAATAATATAAATAATTATTTTTTTTTAAAAAAAATAGTATAAATAATGTATTTTTAATTAAAAATTTAATATTTTGTATATTTTAATTATTTTAACTAAATTTGGTATATATTTTTTAAAAAAAAATAAACCTTTAAAAAATAAAATTTCTATCTTTACGGGTTAGCGGGTACTCGCGAAATAAATTAGACCAACCTGCATACGCAATTTAGTTTTCTCAAATAGATCAACCCACACACACCCGTCAACGGGTAAAATGGGGCGGGATCCGTGGGCTATGATTAAAATTTTCAAGAGCATTTGTGCCATAGTCATTTCACATATTAGTTTGTACTTATTCCTAAACAGTTATTTTAAAACTAAAATAATAAAATATAGTTACAATTTTGTTTAGTAATCAAATAGTGATTAAATAAATAAATTTATATGTTTTTCATTAAATTTTCATGATTGATTTTATATATAATGACAATAACGCTTACATATAATATTACACATAATAATGTTCATGCAATTAAAAATGGATTTTGTAAATTTTGATCCAATGTATGGTTTATTTTTTCTTACCTACTAAAATAGGCAACGTGGAAAATTAATTGTTGGACTAAACATATATAAATATGTCACAATCTTAATTTAATAGAACAAATATTGTACATGTGCAATATTTTTATTTTGCTAAATAGGATAAACACATTGTCATATTGCTGCATCAAAAATAATTATTTAGATTAAATCGTAAAGATCATATACATATATATATATATATATCATAATAATTATTGTTTATGTATTGTAACAGATTTAGTAATACTTGTAATATGTTTGAACTGTAGTAAAACATATTTATATACCTTACAGATTAATTGGTGAGATATCATGTATCAAAATAGGATTTTATTAGTTATTTTCAAAAAAAAAAAAACCATCCCTTAAAAATAGGACAATAGATGGTTATATATTAATGTAGAAGCCAAAATATCAATGGGGGTATATAAACATAAAGATGCCGTGTAATATTGTCATATATAGCGGTTATCATTTTTTTTAAAGGATCCAACTAATATCAATTGGACATAATTTAATGAAAGTGGTAAGGAAATATGGACAAACCTCTGGTCAATGTATTAACTTCGAAAAATCTTCTTTACTTTTTGGTAAGAGGATTGGGCAGGATGTTAGACAGGAAATTAAGGACACCTTAGGAATTCAGAATGAAGGGGAAATGGGAACATACCTGGGAATCCCAGAGTATATCAGTGGGTCTAAATGCAAGCTCTTCGCTTTTTTTAAAGACAAGTTAAGGAATAGAGTTAACGGATGAAGAGGTAGGTGGTTGTCAAAAGGGGGCAAGGAGGTTATGATTAAGTCGATCTTATTAGCACTACCAACCTATGTCATGTCTTGTTTTCTTCTGCCATTAGAGATATGTGATGCCTTAGCTACTGTCATTGCACAGTTCTGGTAGAGCTCAAACCCCCCCCCCCCAAAAAAAAGAGGCATCTACTGGTCAACATGGGATAAATTATGTTTGTCTAAAGCGGAAGGTGGGATTGGTTTCAGGATGATCCATGAATTTAACCTGGCACTGCTAGCAAAGCAGCTATGGAGGCTCATTCAATACCCAGACTCTCTGGTTGTCCGTGTTTTGAGAGGTCGGTATTATCGTTTAAGCTTGCTGTAGCGTCAGCTTACTATTAGTAGTCCATCATATGTGTGGATAAGTATATCGGCGGCACGTGAATTACTATTACTGGGAGTTAGACATAAGATTCACTCGGGCTATGAGGTGAAAATTTGTGAGGATCCATGGATTCCTACTATACTAGCGAGACCGGCGTCCCCAACTGTACCGACTTTACACCCAAACATGAGAGTGAGTGACCTTATTAATCAGGAAACTAAGACTTGGGATGCGACGAGGCTGGAGAACTATGTAAATGCTGCTGATATACCTCTCATACGGAGTATATCAATTAATTCTACACATCACAGGGACACCTATTGTTGGAGTTATACAAGGAATGGACAATATACAGTCAAATTTGGATATTGGGTTGCACGGAATATTTTAAAGCAGGAAGAGGTGCCTGTAGTAAGTGAACCAAGTATCACTAAACTACAAGCACAAGCGTGGAAGGTGCGGGCTCCCCAAAAGATGTGCCATCTTATGTGGCAACTAATAACAGGCCATGTGGCTGTTACAAGTACTTTAAACTACAGACATATAAGGTGTGACAATTACTGCCCACGCTGTGGAGAACCTGAAGAGTCAATTACACATGCCATTTTCATGTGTCCACCTGCTAAGCAAGTCTGGGCATTATCGTCGACGCCTACTAGTCCTACACTGTTTCCAAGCTAATGAACAGACTTCCTTGCCATCCTAAGGAGACGTGGATGTTGACAGCCAGGCCATAAGTTAGCCCGATATGCAGAGAGTGAATGTCAAGCATGGTTCCAAGCTAATGAACAGACTTCCTTGCCATCCTAAGGAGACGTGGATGTTGACAGCCAGGCCATAAGTTTGGGGAATATTTGTATGGTGGATGGCTCTTGGACCTCTACAGCTCAGTTCAGTGAAGGTGGATGGGTCTGGAATGATAATATGGGGACTAGTCAGTTGATGAGAATGCGTAATTTTGATAGAGTGGAGTCAGCTTTGCACTCTGAGCTAGAAGCACTGCGGTGGGCAATGGAGAACATGCTTCAACATTCGTCATGTCAGAGCTTTGGGACGAATTGCAAGGAAATGATAACAATGCTCAGGAACCCACAGGATTGGCCAAGCTTCTCAACAAAACTGGAAAAGCTAACGACATTGCGGATTTGCTTCCCAGACTTTAAGATTTTTTATGTTCCTAGGACACAAAACGATTATTCCGATTCCCTAGCTAAGACTGCTCGATCTTTCTATCGAGATCTGGTGTATGTTGGTTGTTCTATTCCGATCTGGATTCCCAGACCACCTAAAGCTTGAGTAATAGATCAGCCGTTTCGTTGACAAAAAAAAATAGTATTGATTTCTTTTTTAAAAAAAAAACTAAATTATCCTAAGAATCCCTCTAAGCAACCCAGATAATCATGGCCTTTTAGGGCATAATTATCTCTAGTTTCTTAGAGGGTTTTTACACTAAAAGAGGTAGTGGCTCTCACAAATTTGCTAACAGTCGGTCACAAAAGGCGTGAGTTCAGAACCGACTTTGGTTAGTTTCTTGAACTATTCGCGGGCCCGACTGACACATGACGGCTCGCGATTAGTTCATTTTTTATTTTATTTTTATATCAGCCAAAATTTTTTTTAAGAAACTCAAAAAAGATTTCACCGATAATGATGGTCTTACGCCCCTTGATTATTATTTTTCACATAAAATCAACAGCTCAAGCCTTTGATAACATAACTCTGTGAAACCAAAAAAAATAGTGGAATCCTAGCAGAGCGACCCACATCTGATTCAACGTCGAAGTTATTAACACTCAGGTCAAATGTTTTTACCGTGATGCTATCTCTGATGCTATTCACTTTGCTACACTTGATGTCTTCCGCCTGGACGGTCTTCACAGAATCCTTTCCAATATGCACCTGCATTTATACTCGAATATCCGCACTCACTCCTTCTTCAAACCGACATATGTTGTAGGACAAAACCGTTTTGCTCAAGGATCCGAAATAACACCACCTCCACGACCCGTCTTCCCATCCGGATTTTTCTTAACATGTAAGCCCCATATCTCACTATTCCAATGTTTCCATGATTATGATTTTCTGTTATTCTTTCTAAAATTTGACCACCCTCCACCTATAGTTTTGTCATCATCTACTTGTCTTTACTGAATGACTGTAGGAGATGGGTTGTACCCCTCCACAAAGCCCATCAAATAAAGAAGCTTAGCCAAATGTGACGATGTATCCGGCCCATTAGACGTGTAAGAAACGGCTTGGCTTCGGGGCGCTTCTAGTAGATCGGCTAAAAGCGCTTCGAAGGAGTCAGCAGAAGAACGCTTTATCCGGGCTACTAAACAGGCTCAAAGAAAACGGAAGCCCAACAAGGCTCGGGTGAACTAGGGCGAACAACAAGACAAGGTCTATAAAAGGAGAGAGGCAACATCAAGAAAGGGGATCCACACTTCGACACACATACTAGGCGGCTAGATCTAGGGTTTCATAGATACTAGGTGGCTAGATCTAGGGTTTCCTTACATTCACCGATACTCACCGCTTTGTATTTCTCCGGTCAGCTCTCCGAACTCCGGCTAGATCGCCTCTCTACTTACCTCCTTGTAACCTCTTGTTCAGATCTAATAAAAGAACGTCTTTGTTTACCCCATCTCACTCTTTATATTGTTCTTGAACCATATTCACCTCAAACAATGACGCAGCCGCAATTTTTAGAGGCATTGGATCTGAGGAGAGACAACTAAGTCCGTAATGGCTGTAACAACGTTGGATCCCAAAATATTTAGAGGTCTGTTCATTTTGTTCATACATGATAAAATATAGATCACCACAGTTTTCTATAAAAATATAAAAAAAATGGTATGCCACATCCCAATTACTGGCTTCAGCTAACAAACACTTGCTACCACACAAGTAA